TATCATCTATACAAATTAAGTTCTCTGTTATATTTAGGTACATTTTTATGTTAAAGCATGTTCCATATTTTAAACGTTCGGAAATGTTTACTTTTTAGCAAAAGATGTTTTCCGATGCTGAAGCAAATTTATGGAAAAAATTCAACTTAAAAAATTGCGAATGTTTGAAAACCTGAACTTCTGGTTCACGATTTGGTGACAAAAATGGCCAAATGGAAATTCTTGAAATATTATATCCATCGTTCTAATGGCTGACACTGTGGTGGAATATCTCACGAGTTACGAAGAAGTTCAAGGTCACTGTTATTTGACCTTATATAGGTAAGGGCGGTTTCTAATAAACATCCTGTTGTTCTGCCATAGACACGCACCTGATAACAACAGAAAACACACGATAGTGACGTGTTAGTCAATTTGTTCTCTAATATTATAGTATTGTAGTATCTTTGTACAAGACCATGTTTGCACAGGTACTACATGTAATTACTTTCAGACCCACTCCATTCTATACCATCCCAACAGAGACTCATTTTACACACAACATATCTGATGAAAGTTGTCTAAAATAGACACAACTCCCATGTCAATTTTGTCATAATGTTTATTGATAAAACATAAAAACACATATCGAAAGTTACATAGTAAAAGAATTGATATCTATTGTAAAAGTAAAGAACATGAAGTAACAGACACGAGGGAATAAGAAATATTGGTCGTTTGTTGAACTGAGGTGCATATAAAATTGACTGATTATTGCTGCTTGTTTGATAAGGAAATGACCTCCAGATTAAAAAAAACATTTATTTTTGATGATATGTGATTCCGCCATAATAAGTATAAAACTCATAGTTGATAGCTGAACAAACACATCTTATTAACATTCACTGCCATGTTGTTTGTCTTTCCATTGATAAAGACTAACTAGTTAACATCCCACACAATTTTAAAGACCACATATCAGGTTATATAAAATACCATTGAAATCAGATATTTTCCAATGATATGTTTTGTTTGATTTTGGTTGGTTGAAACAATCATTCATTTTTTTTCCTAAACTGTAGGTCTACACCAAGGAACCAATTGCACAGGATTTATTTTGACAATATATAGCAATGTGAAATGAAATAGGTTATTAATTACATAATATATAACATCTATACCTGTATTACATATGTGTAACAAGAGAAAGTCACAAAGAGGTGGTCATTATTGAAACTGGGGGACATCACTGGAGAACACAGAAGGAACAGAATGGTGCCTCAGTGTTGTTATACTGGACAATAAAAACCCTTGTCATAATATTACTTAGTAAGCTTTGACATTATAAAGGGATTTGGCATTATAAAGGGATTTGACATTATATCTAGCGCGACACACACAACAGATTATCAATAAGGTTTACAACAGCTGGTAACTAGCTTTTGATAATCAGATCCAGTAATCCACTATACACATATCAATGGACTAGAGTTTACCATCAAACAATTTACACCAGACATTCACATATATAATATCATCTGTAGGAGTAGACGATAACAGGTGAAGAGCTGTTAAGAAAGAAGTGTTAAATGAATCACGTTACTTTAAACACGGGGGCTCATAACAACGTTTTTGGGTGTCAATGAAGACGTGTATGGTATACTATAACTAGTACAACCTTTACTAGTTACTGTTTACCATACAAACCCTCATTCCCCAGAAATATTGTTACAGGCCCATGTACCCTTAAACAGTACAAATATCAAAAGCATTAAACACATACATGTACTGATATGATTATATAGTCATTTATAAATTACATTTTGACCATGCTTCAATAAAAATAAAAAGGACACTATAAAAACTCTTTTGTGAAAATAATCCCTTTAAAATGCTTCTCTGAAAAAAACCCTAAAGTTGATAATTTCTGTAGGTAGACAAAATAACCCTACAAGGAAGCCCAAGTATAGCACTTTTACATCAGATGTGCCTTCTTGATTATTAAAATGTTGTGAAAGGTAAATGTTTAATGAACTACCAGATACATCTCTTAAAGGGAGACTAAAAAGTGTCTAGATGTCCTAGAAAGACTGAGACGAATCCTTTCTCTCTAGTGGGTTTCTCCTGGGAAAATTACAAGCAATCTCTCTTGGGGTAAAATTATTAACAAATACATCTTTCACCAGGGGAGACAACTCAATTGTTTCTCTCCTGACAATATTTTTAGGTGTATTGATCCTCAGATAAGACAAACAGCAGAGTTATTTATCTATTGGTGACTAATTACTATCATTTGATATGTTTCTAACAATAGATTATCAGCAGTTACCTCCCTTCTGGGGATAAAGGGATAAAGACATATATTGTTTCAGAAAGTGAGACAGCCAGTAGGTCTCTCCCACAAATACAGTGTACAATATGTTTTTTCGTTTGGTGTCTACATATTTATCTTGTAGACTGTGCATGAAATTCAAATTCATTGTGTATGCTATGTTTGCTGGTAAAACATTAAAAGATCCCAATCCCTCCAGACAAAGCTGGTATGTAAAATTATGAATATGGAGAAGATAAAATGATACATTTATATGTCTGGGGCCTGTACATCAATATGTGGGTATCATACTCATATCATGTTTATCAAGACATGCTTTCATATGGGATAAATATTAACTACACAACTAAAATGCTACTGTAATAGGTTTATCCTCACACAGGAATAACAATTACATGTCCCTTTAACACAACAATAATCACAGCCTTTGAACATTTTAAATGTTCAGGGTGAAAAGACAGCAGGATGTAGTGTAAAATTATAAGATACAGTCCCTCTAACAAAACTGGAATGTTATCAAGACTAAATGTCTGATAAAATCACCATTAATGATTATTTTGCGACTAATAGGGAAAAAATTTCTGACATTAATCCTCAGTTAACTAACATGTACTTTTCACATACCAATACATTTTTTCCTAAAAGAGAAACTTTTTCAAAATCCCTCCTTTCCCCATTAAAAAAAAAAAAATTAAAACTCTCCAGTTAACTCAAATGCAAGTTTTGTACACCATACATGAAATTTATTTGTTTTAACCAGTGATAAAAACAATGCAAACCTGCTACTAACATTTTATTGGTCATTTCCTAGGAAAACTTCACTGACAGCATGATTAGTTAAGTAAGACAGCCAATTAACAGGTGTCCTGTTGCCATCCATATTACAAGCATTATGAAAAGGATATCATAATTGTAAAGCTAGCTGCATGACATGCAATATGATGAAAAATACTTATATCTATTTGAGCTTTTTAACTTTAATACATCTTTATTGAAAGTAGTTGATAGTAGGAATTCGGATGTGATAATTTTCTCTGAGTTACGAGTGGTAACACAAATAATACTGTACACACATATATTTTTTTGAAAAAATAAAAAGTTGAAACTAATACATTCTGTGTGATAAACACGACTATGTGGATATTTATCTAATGGTATATAAATGCCAATCAATTTCAGTCACTGTAAGGCATAGATACATACCTATTATCTAATATATTGGATTATAAGTCAACACTTTTATGAAAGTTGATTATGTTAACAAGTTCATCGCCTTTCATCATAATGCATGTTCTATGTTCACATATATATGAAATAGATATAAGAAGAATAGGTATTGAGTAAATAAGAAACATATTTTAAGGATTATTACATCATTAAGAACCACTAACCATGCTTAAAGAATATAATTCCAATTCACACTTCATAAAAATGCACAATGTAACATACCATATTTGACTCAATAGATAAGTAAAAAGCTTGGACTAGGTATAGGACTATTCAAAATTAAAATGACCTTTTAAATAAATTGTCATAACTTTATTCAAATTTTTGTACCATGCTGTTCAAAACAATTTTTTGAATTTGGAGAAAATTCTTCACTTCAAAATTCATGTTCAACTATTTTGTTTACACTTTTTTGAGCTTAAAAATCTGAATATTATTTGAATACTGTTCTGATCTTGGGTATTGGTATTAAAATTGTGACAAGGACTTGAGGATCCAATATCTAGAATCAGTCAAGTTTCTCTGACAGAAATAAAAATTTTGTGATAACGATTCTGTAGGAAGTTTAACATCCAAGCCTGATAGTAACCCTTTGTATGACTTTATTGACAAACTCAATTCTGATATATATATCAGTAAAGAATTGTGTCCACATGGACATGGAAAAAGACAATTGCAAGCATGACCCCAATCTTCAACACAATGATCAATAATGATACGCTGTATATTTAAATACAAATTTGTATCTACATATTGTATTGGAGCAGTGAGACTTCAAAACTTTGTGTAGTGCAACAGACCATATTGAAAGTACCCTTTTTTCACCAAATGGCAAGAAAACATACTTTGCCTGAAAATTTGTATTGTTCTTTTTTCTAACTAATTCTTTTGTGTGTTATGTATCATTTCTCATTTGTTAAAAAGTCAGGGACTCATTTGCAATGTCATTTGATGAAATAAATTTTAATTGTCATTTATTAACTAATTTCTATACATTACCCTATTAAAATTAAAACAGTATACACATATATTTCATAAACATACATTTAATATAACAATCACAATAAAAAAATCTTGATCTCAAGATCTGATGTTTATAGTTTAAAAACTACTTCTAGAAATGTTCTATATCATACAGCAACATGAAGGACTTCTGTATTAAAACACAAATAAAAAAAACATACAATTAGACACAAGTCTGTAGCAGGTGCCATGCCAAAGTATTACACACACATCACAGAATCATCTACAATGTCTGATATTCATGTTGATGACAATGATAATCAGCCATTTTCATAATAATCTCATGTTATATAGCTACCCAGTCATTTCTAAACACGTTTAGAAGAGGTTTCATACAGGCTTTCATTCCTTTCATAATTTCCTACTGCTGTTCTAGCTTAATGATGAAATACAGATGACTGGTACGCTCTCAACTCAAAAAATAGATAAATTCCCTTACTTCATGGCAAATAAACTAAATAAACTTTATTATTTTTTATATACTTAATTGGCAGAGATGACAAAAAATGAGACATACACCAATATTATTTCAGCTTGTACATGTATGTATGATCTGTCAAACTTAGAGTGTACTCAATGAATGTTGAAATCGAAACAGACAGAAACTCACGTTAGGTTTCCCTGTAGGAATGAAAATTTCTTTTCAAGGATTGTCAACTGTTGACTCAATTATCCAGAATTTGGACAAGATGGGTATATGCTAATGAGCACTGATTCAGAACATGTTACAAGGATGTAGAATTTATTTCGAGAAATTTGATATCTAACTGGAAACACCAGTGCTTTTACCTCCCTTGTTTTGTGAATTGATAACAGACTTTTTGTAGACATTTTGAATTGTTTTACAGTTGTGTGATAATCTTCTTATAAATACAAGGATACTCAAAGATACTGTTTTACTATAAAAACCACTCGCCTTCATTTCTGGAATACAAACAGTACATGTTAAATAAGGCCAAACAAAAATAATGTTTGTTTCCGATTATAGGTTTGAAAGATCCAGGGTGTGTTGCAAGAATTAATCTTTTTCTGAAATACACAAAGGTTATATGGCAGGTTGATCCTGATTTTAATAGTGCTATCTTGATAAATTTTAATAACAATTTTTGAAAAAGCACACTTATTTTTGATCAGAAGGATTACAGGAAGCAAACAATATTCTTTCTTATGCCTGAGGACTGAGAATGGAATACATGCATTCAGATGTTGTGTTTATGTAATCTACTACCCTAATGAAACTAGTTAATATCTTATATGTGGTAAACTCATGTTTGAAATATATTGCTTAAACATCGAACACCGCACCTAGCGTTGATTTTATTTTAATTTTCTATCACCGATACTAAGATTGCCATAGTTATAATTGAACACCCTTAACAATAAATGGCAACACAGACCAAATACAGACTAGTACCCCAGCTCTTCTGGTGTCATTTTTGTGTATACCTTTATATCAGACCATTGATATGATTACTGGTGACTTTCATTAAAGAAGAACAGTCACATGACATATAGGTAGTATTTCAGATCCCAGAAGATCTTCAAGGTAACATAACAGTACTTATACCTCTCAACAGTACTAGTCAGTAGTCGTTACATCCATAAAACGTGCTATTTGGAAAGTCACAACAGAATCTTTATCAATAAGCTGGTCCGGGAGCATTGGCTGGTGGTCTAGGTTTAAAATTGTGGGCCTTCATATAGGACAGGAACTGGTCTGGTATCTCTGCCAGAACCTCCTTTGCTAGAGCTGCCTGGCACATCTGCATATTGCTACTGTTGGCACCCCGGAGGAAATCACGGAATGGCACAAACTGAAATAAAACATAAAATGTAATGACTGTATTTATATAGAGGATAAACGGTAAGTGTATCAATATAGAAGATGTATTTTGATGAAGGTGAAGTAAGACACAAATGGTGAACCTTTGCCAGGCTACTTTTGTCTTTCTATCCAGATACAAAATACAGCTTTTATTTTAAAACAATGGCCATGCATTCTATTTATCCTAAATGATTTTTTTGAAAATTCAGACTATCAAAATATTAACGGTTTGTTAGGCTTATTCAACCTTCGTTTATTTGACACTGACATTATGCTGAATAGTGCCTGATGAAGCATGTCAAAATAAATTAATCAGCTCAGAAATATATCATCAAACTTCAACGGATATGTAAAAAGTGATTTTTTTAATTTTAAGAAGTAAGCTTGTTTGTTACAACAAACAAAAGTCATGTCGGCCATGAAAGTCTCTGTCAAAACTTGCCAAAAAGAAACATCAGATCACTTATTGTATCTCCTAGTAGGAAATGTACTTTTATACATATGAAAACATCTTATAGCTGTACACTGTTTCTGGTCACATGTTGCCATAAAATCACCTTACACAAACAATCACCTTATACAAACAATGTTTCTAAGCATTTCTAAGCTGTAGAAATATACTGACCACTTGTTTCCATGGAAATATCTCGCCTGTACAATGTCTCCCAACAATAAGAGGCATACCTTACCTACATAATGTCCCTGACCACTTGTTGGCATGAAAACATCTTACAGTTTGTTTGTTTGTTTGTTTGTTTGGTTTGTTGTCCTGTGAATGGTCAATAGCTGGTCGCTACCTCACTAAACAACATATAGGAGGTCTATTACAAAGTGTGTTGCCAAAGAACACAACCATGATAGCACAGACAGGACAGTTTCTCAGTCTCCTGAGAGACACAAACCATCACAGGTAGGGAGGGTTTAACACACACTTCTGATCTTCACTGGTGGTCATTTAAGCAACTCTCTAACCAACTAAGTTATTTCAGCTATCTTGAAGTTTTGAAATGTTTCTGACCACTTGTTACCATGTCATCTTACCTATACAGTGATGACACTTGTTACCAAACATTTACCTTGTTACACATTTTCTGGAACTTGTTACCATCTCTTACCTATACAGTGATTCTGACCACTTGTTACCATAGAAACATCTTACCTATACAATGTTTCTGACCACTTGTTACCATAGAAACATCTTACCTATACAGTGATACACCACTGTTACCATCTGAACATCTTACTTGTTACCATGTTACCAAACATCTACCTATACAATATTCTGACCACTTGTTACCATGGAAACATCTTACCTATACAATGTTTCTGACCATTTGTTGCCATTGAAACATCTTACTATACTTTGACCACTTGTTACCATGGAAACCCTTACTTGTCCAGATCACTTGTTGCTATGGATTAATTTTATTAATTTTGATAACTTTCCCCAATAAAAACACTCTACCTGCACAATATTTTAGCCACTTGTTGTTATGGAAACACCTTACCTGTACAATATCCCTGACTGCTTGCTTGCCATTGTAAGACAACCTCACTTCATCCCCATCTAGTGTATCCATGGCTGAAAAAAATTATAAGACATGAATCCTGTGAATAAAAATTTTCAGAAAATAACAGGTTTCTGTTTCAACTTTTTATCAACACATGTTCTCTTAAATGTAGTGTAACTCAAAATGATCTAATTTCATTCATCAAGTCAAAATTCATCTCTTAATTAGGGATCCATTTTGTGAATGAAAAGTAGAACAAACCAGAGAAGAAAATGCTATAAAAAACCAAATGGCCAATAGATGTTTTTCACATCCAATACAATTTTTAAATACTCTTTCACAAGACATAAAAATAAAGTTACCTTCAAAATCTGCCTCTCCTACTCCAACTATGATGATTGACATTGGTAGCCCAGAAGCCTACAATCATCAAAACCATGTTAGGGAGAACTGTCAAGAATATCGGTACCATTCAATGACTTTTACAGAAATATGTTTTTGTAATAAATCTAAATATCTATTTACCTACAACTACTGATAATTCAGCTGTAACATGTATATCTCAAATATTGTACTTCAGGAAATACCCAAAAGGCAAGTTGTCAAAGTCATACATATGTTGTGATAGTGAGATCAACATAATGATTGTGATGCGATAATTCTACAAATTTCATATCTTTTTTTTGAACGTTCAGTCTTCATGGATATGCTACTATTTTTCATGTTCTGAGGCACAATCTGGTACCCTGGTACTTACATTGACTATAGCCTGCATGGTTTGTGGCATGTCGGTGATGACACCATCCGTGATGATGAGCAGCACAAAATAATTAGAGCCATCCTGCACTGCAGCTGCAAACCTACAAGTACATCATGAATATAAGATCTTACAGGAATTTCCAGATGATATAATAAATGAAACAATTTCAAGAAATCTTAATTTCAGGAAATGCCAATAACTTTAAAATCCTATTTATCTAAGATCACTTATTCAGGAAAATATTGTAGAAAACAATTTAATATCAACTGTAAGTCTTTAAGACTGTATATGTATGGTCTCATTGTAATGTCAGAGTATGATCTGTGAGTGTGTAACAACATTTCATTTTCTAAACCTGATGTCACAGGATGTAATGTAACACAAGAAATGTACTGCTTCTTCGGGCTTCGACAGTGTTTGCCCTCTCATTGCACCCTAAATTACACATATATAATATATGAAAACATTACACAGGTGTACTTACTGAATAATAAGGAAATCACATGGTAAAGCAGATGTATTATCACACAGCAAATCAAATGTATTTCACAAATAGGATAAAAGAACCTACATGTGTCACAAATTACATTTGAGCAAGTTATTTGCAATAATCAGTAACCAGTAATACTACAAGTCTGGGGGTGATACTAGAACCTACCTGGCCACATGGTTGATAACAGGGGCAAAGTTTGTTGGCCCATAAAGTTGTACATTCTTTAGGGAGTTGTAGTAAGCTTGTAAAATACCTTGCACACCTTGACAGAATGGATTGCTTGGGTTGAAATTCTGAAATACATGAAGTATATTTTTGCTCACTTCTTTCCTTAAATTTTTTTTGATAAATACTCTCCTTGTTTACATAATGTTAAATGTAGAAATGACCAACATGAATTTCCCATTTTTTAAATTTTGAATCAATGTGTTATAAAAATGATAAATTTAACTATATAATCAGGCAAAGTTTATTTTCAAGATGGAGGTAATGTTGGACATCTTCAAAACCAAAAGTAATAATGAGGAAGAACTTCCATTTACAAGATCCCTGATTTCAGATGGAATCATTTGTTGGTCATGCACAAGACGTAAATGGAAGCCCTGCCTCATTATTACTTTTGGTTCTGGAGGAGTATACGTAGTGAAACACAGTTTTTATGATGGTGGGTATCTTGAATGTAGCATTGGTCCTATTCACTTGTGTGTCTTTTGCATAATTTTTGTTCAGCACTACAAGGACAATGTCAAACTCATTAGCAAATATTTCTATTGCCTGTATCATTATTCATTAAGGAGAAGTGTTAACGAGATAGTGTCTGATAATCTATGTCACTCCATCTGTCACTACTATCTTGGACAGATGGAGTGACAAATGGATTAGTGGACAGACAGATAAAAGGAGGAACAGGACACCAGGCAATTTACCATAGAACTGTTCTGGTCTTTGAACAAAAGACTTAAAATCTTTAAAGTCTCCAGGTAGGATGCCAACAATGACAACAAGGGAACAGAACAAGCTCATGGTTACTTGTAACTGGTGGACTAACAAAGGATTAGCCTTGAATGTCCTATAATTCACAATAAATCAATTAACTTTCCAATTACCACAGATATACTAGAATCTGGTGCAATCACATTTAAAAACAACTTACCAGTGCAAATTCATGATGTACACTTCCATCACTCATCCTGGCCCCGAAACCTAAGGCAGGGAACAGCTTGTCACTAAAACGAGCAAAAGCCATCCATTTTGTTACATCTCCTTATTCTACACCACAGATGCAAGGAAATCATGTGTACATATACTGTATTTTCTTTATAAGGAAATCCATATTCTATATTTATATCTGTAA